TTTAAAAATCGAATTGGTTCAAAGAGTTCATTTGATGTTCTTTTTATAAATTGATTGTTCGATTTTTGAAATGATCTGTTAGATAGAACAATCGTTAATGGGTCAATCTGGTTAAATGTGATTTTTGAGATATTGGAAAAACAATACATTGGTAGCTATTATTCAATCTTAAGAATGTTTAGATAGAAAGCGCTTTTAATTATATTGAAATCATTGTTTCTTATGTATAATGTAGTAGGTTTAGTAGTGATCATATTATAAATCAGCAATTTGTCAACGTCACGAGACGACTCACGACCTACGTTCATAGGTTCTTAAGTATATAGGTAGGTAAGTACCTAAATAGTAAATATGCAGTTAAGGTACCACCTTTTTAACGCTATGGACATTCTCGTGACCTTTCCTTGCCAGCTAAAACGATGGGATCCTCCTCTGTTTCCTGTGACCGTGACCCAGGTCTTGCCGATTCACCGCACCCTTGCAGCAGGCCCCACCATGTTTAGTGGCCCTTGGACGCAGCTTCCATTCTTTGAGTGCCGCGCGTCTAACTCTCCACGGTATAAATGTCATATTTTAATAGTTCTCTGACGCTACCTCACAGAAAACCGACGTGAAAAAACATTTGCGTTGTGTTTCGTCGTGTGAATTTCCCCCAATCCCCGAATCCCCAATAATCCTCAATTTCCTAATCCAGGCCAGGTAACGCACTTGTAACACCTTTTGTGTTCCGGATGTCCATGAACGGCGCCGATTGCTTACGATCAGGTGATCCGTCTGCTCGGCTTATTACATAAAAGAACTACCTTAACCACAGAATACCCTAACTAACGCCTACACCCCGCCTAGGTACACCTAGCTATGCTATATAGCAGATACTTGACTTCCTAACCAGTCCACTGCAGAATATACACCGTGAAATCTAGGATTTCGTTTTCGTCCCGCGGGTAATCAACTTGCAGTAAGGAGTACCTACCTACTTTCGATGCTTACCTATAAAGTAAAAACCATAATTTAAATATACCCATCTGTGGTTAAAACAAAAAAATTAAGATATCATTTATTTTTTTAATCAAAATACATGTTTCATGGAAATACGCACATGAAACACTTCTTCACTTCACTATTTGCATCGCACGCGCCACCCGACGACAAGAAAAACTACCTCTTCGAGAATTACATGGCGTGATGTTTTGATAATACCTAGGTAGGTACTATAAGTTCGTATGTGCTTTATTTGCTTTTTATTGTTATGGTTCACCAGTTATTTTTTGTTTTAAACATTTTATTTCTTTTTAAAACTATTGTAGTACCAACACAGAACCATTTTTCTTCGGGACGAAAACGAAACAATATCACAGTTTACTATATTTATAAGTTACCGCCAACCGGTAACCACCTAACAGTAGGCGCTTCCTTACTGAGTAACAATTACGGTTATTTAGATTTTAGTACATACACATAAACGTAAAGTAAACCTAAATAGGTATCTTTTTTTTTAAGGGGGGAAAATCATCGAATGACTGCTCCCGCCTGGGTGAGGCGGAAGGGAGTGTCAGACTCTTACTGACTAAAAACCACCCCGTTCCTTCTCCTGCACGTCGAGCCGGAGCCCCGGTTACCCGTTAGGTTCTCCGCGACTAAATAGGTACCTATCTTAGGTAGGAATCATTTGAGGAAAAGCATGAATGTTATGCTTCATATAATAAAGTTGTTCATAAACATGGAAGCTGCTGTAAGCGTTTTATATTACATTCAGATGATGTTCTCTCGGGATATCGGTTGCCATCAAGTGGAGGCCCATAGAGCGACGAACGCATACAGTTGGCCGCCATGCAATCAAAGTTATTATTTTTATAATAGCTTAAGCTGGTAAACGTGCAGACGTATCACCTGATGGTAAGCAATCGGCGCTGCCCATGGACACATGCCCATGTTTCAGGTGCCGCCCGCAGTGCGTTACCGGCCTTTTGGAAATTAGGAATTTTGGAGGATTCGAGGATTAGGGAGACATGGAGAGGTTTCACGTCGGTTTTCTGTGAGGAAGAGCCGGCCCATTCGTGCCGAAAAATGGCTCTCCCAAACTTAAATAATAAAGTTATAGAATAAATAGAAACAGAATAAGTACCTAGTTGCTATTTAGATTTATTTAGTCTGTCTATCTATTATTATAAAGAGTAAGTTATCAATCTGAGATATATTCTTTTTTATATCTTGACTAGCGACCCGCCCCGGCTTCACACGGGTATAGGTAATATGCATATAAACCTTGCTTAACAATCACTCAATATATTAAAAGACTCTAAACCCATCAAAATCCGTTGCGTAGTTCTAAAGATCTAAGCATACATAGGGACAGAAAGACGGCGGATAGCGACTTTCACATTTATAATTTATTTTTTTTAAGGGGGGAAAATCATCGAATGACTGCTCCCGCCTGGGTGAGGCGGAAGGGAGTGTCAGACTCTTACTGACTAAAAACCACCCCGTTCCTTCTCCTGCACGTCGAGCCGGAGCCCCGGTTACCCGTTAGGTTCTCCGCGACTCCGAATCGGCTTCACATTTATAATACGAGTGAGATAGTGTGATGTAAGTACTTACCTAGCTAATGTCTTCTCTATACTTTATTAGATCTACACAGTCATAAGTGGTTCGAGCTAAGTGTTCATAAGTGGTGTGTTTGCGGTCAGCCGAGCTATATCGATATTATATCGATAATCAATCAATCGAGTTGGGCATCGATTAAACTCGATTCATTATTAAGTGGTGGGTTAATTCGGGTTTTATTGTATTCGATTCAGGTTAAGTGTTTTATTCGGGTCAGATTAATTTGATTCGTTTGTTTGGGATATAACATGCTCTGGTATATTTTTATTGTAGATACTTATGGCTATTAGGTATTTAGTGGATCTAAAAAGCTTGTGTTCACTTAGTCCGTTTCCTTTACCTAGATTTCATTTTATTTTCGTGGGCGGGCGATATTAAAAGTTCTAATTGACAGTGAAGCTCCTAAATAAAATTAAAAATAGGTACCTACTGGTAAGAACTTAGGTAAGTAGGTAGGTATTCGTTCGCGTTTAAAATAGGAATTAATTACTTTGTACTTTTTTTTTAAATCTATTTATTTATGGGATTTAATCACACAGTGATAATGTCACCCCGTGACTTACAATTACCTTGTCTAAAATCTAAATATACTAAGTATCTTACGAACTACCCAGGCTTACATGTACTTAAACAGTTAAATTTACATAGTATTAACTAGTTATACTTGTTATACTTGTTAATTATTAATAACATTTAGGAGTCGACACACTTTGTACTTATTTACATAGTTTCTATTCTAGGTTCATTCTATTTAGAATCATTAGGTACAAACTTCTTTTGACTAGGAAGTGCAGAAACTAGACAAATTCAACGAACTAAAGTTCTGATGAATCAAACAACTTTACTAATTATTATATTCCGTCGGGAGGCGAATACTTATTTAATTAATATTACCTATCTAATCATTTAACTAATTGATGTATTTATTTCGTAATTGAAGTATGAAACACAGTTATAAGATTTCCTCCGAGCCAAAAATAAATCATAAATTCCCAACAAACAGGAACACATCTCGAGCGCTTCCAAGTTCCAATTTCAAAACCACGTTGCCATAGAAACATGAGAACGAACTTTCCGCGTTCGAAAATTAAAAAGAAAATTTATGTTGACACTTCCACTCACCCACTTCATTTATTGGTCCGTCACAAGAGAAGGTCCAACGTGATTGGTTGGTTTAAATGGTGCTCTAATGAGGGAAAGGGAAGGTGACGTTAGGGCATGGGAGATGTGTGTAGGTGTGAGAGAGATGGATAGACACTTGTCAAGTACTTACAGATAAAGCGCGCGTTAACGGTGGGTGCCTAAGGAAATTGGATTATATGGACGGTGCAACGAAATAGTGCGGCTCTTGCGGATTGGCTGCGATACAGAATGTTTATCGTAATATTGCTAATATATTGAATTATTTATTTACCTATTTACTACCTGTATTTACTACCATGATCGTATTTTAATAATGATTTGATTAAATCAATACTTAATTATACAATATAATAATTCACAATATAATATTATTAAGTTCCATTATAACTCAATTACTAGTACATATGAATGCAAAATTAAATATAAATGTAATATAAAATTACTGCAATTGCTAGTAATATAAATCTAATATTTAAGTGGGCTGTTTAAAAAGAGATAAGGTACGGGATCGTGTAAGTTTTTATTTTGCTGATTGCCATTCTTCACTCAAGATCTTCATACATCTTAATTCATAATAATACAAAAGTAAAATTAAATTAAGGCATTAAGTCCGCCATCGTATGTTTATTATGCAGAAGTGTAAATAAAATAAAATAAATAAATAAAATGCATTATCATTACTAATCCACCTCAAAACAAATAATATTGCAGTTTTTGCAATAAATTAATTGCAATCAGAAATGGCCAATTCACAGCATCCTGATAATCGCATGTGACTCGAGCCGAACGATCAAATCGCATTCACGTAAACATCTTCAAGAAAAACTCACCGATCCCCACTACTTACGCTACTTCGAGAGCTTTTTTAAAAAACGACCGACTTATAATCTTTTTGTCCTACTCTAACATGAACAATCACTAGTGACACCTACATAACTCCGTCTCCCTCTAAGGCTTAAACACGTCAAACAGGCGGACTATCTATCACCCAAGTTTATTCGTTTGAGGAACGCTTTTGCGGTGAGGCGAGTCCGTACCGCGCGGTAAAGTGTAAACTCATGTGTTCAAATTGAATTATCAAAATAAAAATGGAATCTAAATTGAAGAATTTCAAAGAATCGTTAACGTTACAAGATTGTGAGAAGCCGAATTTGACGACGCCGTTTTCTATAAACGATATTTTGACCAAAGAGAACGAGGGAAAGTGTGAATTTGAAAATGGAATGTTTTGTTCGGATGGTTTCGGCGGGAAGATGAACTTTTTGGGGAAAGCGGCTAGTTGTTTCGGCAAGGAAGGTGGATACGTGAACAAAGAAGGTTTGGACAAAGGACTGAAGTACTACGATGATTGCAACGGATTCAGGGACTGTGCTGGTGATGGGGCGCTGGACATGACGAGGAAGAACCATTATCCAATCACGGAATTATCAGGTTAGCATTATTTTATTTTATATACATCTTTAGTTTTTATTTACTTATACCTAAACATAGCTGAAATCTATTGATGTGTTACATATCTAGGTGCCTATGTCGAGGGTACTGTAAAAAAGGGCACTAAGGGGTGATTGTTATCTTCAGGTTATCTATCTAGGTTTAATAGGTAGGTCCTCAAAAATAATTACCTATGCACTTATGTACTAGGGAGCAAACTACCTATTAGTTTTAGACCAATTTCGATTAGGTAGTTAAAGTTGATTTTATTATGCTAGTTTTTTAGTTACCTACCTATCTAGGTAGGTAGGTACTTACTAAACCCACGTAATTATCTCATTATCTAAGTACTGCATAGGTATGTATTAAATAAAATCTGTCACTGAGTGAATAGCTGTACCTAACTAATCAAGTCTCATTAGATATTCTCCACTTCATTAGGTGAATAGGTAGGTACCTCGTTTTTTTATGGGATAAGCTGGTAATTATTATTGACTGCACGGTTGGCGCGGTGGCTGGGCAACTGGCTGCCGCGCAACGTGTCGCGGGTTCGATTCCCGCACGGAACTACTCTTTGTGTGATCCACAGATTGTTGTTCCGGGTCTGGGTGTCATGTGTATGTGATATATCAGAGGCGTTACAAGTTAATAACGGCCTTTGGCGATTAGGAATGTTGAGGATTCAGGGATTGGGGAGATTGGGGAAGGGGGGGGGGGGGTGTTGGGCCTCCGGTAACCTCACTCACATGACGAAACAACGCAGACGTTATCTGCGTCAATTATCATTACCTAAACACATTTGTAGTTAAGTAAGTAATACCTCGCCTTTTATAACCTAAAGGAGAGCCCAGACAGAAATGATCATTCACTTTAATATTTCTTTATGATACCTAAGTAAAATATTACAAAACCAAACGCTCCATACGAAACCTATCTATAACTATAATAAAATTAAACGAACAATCCAATCACACACGACGGCACGGTTGGCGCGGTGGCTGGGCAACTGGCTGCCGCGCAAGGTGTCGCGGGTACGATGCCCGTGGGGAACAATTCCACAGATTATTGTTCCGGGTCTCATGTGTATGTGTATGTTTGTAAACGCACCATGAGAGAAAATCCTAGTGTGGGGCAGCGTCTTAAATAAGCAGAAGCAGCATAACACTTGTTATCACTGTCATGATGACGTCATTCATGACTCGGAGTAGGCACCTACTCCACTGTTACACAAAAACTTCCATCTCAAGAGTGTGTGTCCCAACTGATTCTGTCCCCACTCTTTACATGTGGTTTAGAAATCACAAGGTCACCGAAATTAAGAGAAACCTACCGGTCTCTCAATCGAGGATTTAGGTTACCTATATCAGGGTACCACACGCACTATCGAGATCCCATACTCGGTAGCACTTCCAACCACTTGACGTAGCAGTCTAAAATATTACTAGACTATTATTAAGACGTCTAGAGTCTACTGATTGACGTGAATGAGTCTATACCTAGCCTAGTTATATAGGATAGATATACACATATCTATACTACTTATAGTCAATAATCCCTCTATAACAAATGTAGTTTCAAGAGCTTACCTGATAGATGCCTACTCGTCTTGAGATTAATTTGCCTTACAGAATCCCATTAGTTACCTCGTTCGAGTGATCACAATAACGACTACTAAGGTCCTAACTCCCATGTCAGACTTTCGGATCAAGCAAACTATTATTGGGTTTTTTACAAATTCTCAGTTGTAGCACAGAATCTCGGGCAATAACCACTTATTGCCCGAGATTCTGTGCCCAATGATTGATGAAAAGAGCTTGGGCTCTTTTACATTGGTTTCATTAAAAGAAAAGTGAGTGTTAAATAACTACATTTACATTTAATATGTGCTATCTGCCTAGCCCTTTAGAGTTTAAACGCATCATGACAATGTTAAGTGTAGTGAGTAAGGAATCTATAGTTTTTACTATGTGTGTTAAAATTATTGTCTGCGAGGGATAAGTGTCAAGTCCATGTTCTCATCTGATGATGATGATTGCAAAATGTAGACAAATGACTGTTTTCTGACACCATGATTGTCATTATTATAAGCCAGATAGCGTGATTACATGTACCTATAGAGAATAGTTAAAAAGTAACCGATGTTTCACCTTTAAATATTTCGGATTGATGTAGGTTTCGACATTATTTCTGTTATATCAAAAACCTAGACCGATCCATTTGTTCTATTATTATTCTATTAATCTAAAATTAAAACAAGTGACAAACGACCGGTCGATAGTTTCAAATTCGACTTCGAATAATTACCGGCGGACAATGAAGATAATGGTGCGTTCACACCGCACCGTCACACTCGCCGCGCGGTCACGCGGCACGCGTCGTACGTCCCCGCGACATCGCCACTTAATCGTCACTTCGCGCGATTACGCTTACCCCCTCATTATTATAAGTGATGACGCTTAAAGCCATTCAGCCTTTCAATTTAGTAATTACTAGGTTTGTAGTTCGATGGAAAATTGTCTTGGTTATAATGTAAATTGGATATTGACGTTCTAAGGTCATGACCAAATAATTTAGCTTGACGAGGTTAATATTACCTACGCTAAATCAACTTTAGTACATACAATTTTATTTGAAGGTATTTACGCGCTTGTTTACTACATTAAATCTTGCTAAGTTCCTACCTTATTTTCATCCATTTACGTTTGTTTCTGTGATCTGTTCCATAAACTTCATGAAAAACTTCATTTACTAAAAAGTAAATGAAGTTGAATTTTGGAGAGTAAAATATGGATTTTACTCCTCCAAAATTTTCTTTTGTTACACACTACAAACTTCCTACTTTCTACGACTACGTTTATTTCAGTTCTTCATTATCTATCAGTTACGCAATAACATATTTGACAAGAACGGAAGAGTTTAATATTTATAGAGCCATGGTTTTGATATTTATGTTAATATCTACCAGGTACAGAATAACTGCGTCATTCGCCCTGTTTAGTTAGAACTTACATCAATTAGTGTCGATGCGACAACTATACATTATTAACGACCCTGCACAACAAAAGCACCACACGCAAAAATACTGTTACGCCGTGCCGTCGTGCGTCGCATCCTTTTACCGTGTCTAATGACCGGCGACAATTTGCGTAATGGATCCATTGTGTAAGCGCCTTTATACGGGAATGGCGTGTGCCGATAAGCAATTTAATTGATTTCATGTGATCGTGTGAATTTAGCTTAATGAGTTTGGAGCTTTCTTCGTCGTACTTTTTACTTTGATATTCTTTTGAAAATTGTATCATTGCGTCGCTCTTTCATTTGTTTCGTAGTGGTACGAATGAGTTCAATAGAATTTCAAAAGAAAGCCTTTTATAACGATAAAATAATATTTTACTAGAGTGCTACAACAGCACAATATGTAAAAACAATATATAACTGTATAATAACTACCGGCCCTATAGTAAAACTATTCACTTGTTTCAAAGTATACTAAAATTCATCTCTCTTTGTTACAGATGATTACGACTCCCGATCCTCGACCACCGGCTCCCCAGTACGGAGAGCGAACTCCTCACCGAGCTCAGACACGGCCTACAAACCATACAGCCTACACTACGACCAGCGAAAATGTTCCACTCCAACAAACGACTCTAGAATGATCCATTCACCGAACTACCACATCACAGAATACTCACAAAATGGTGGTCGGAAAAAGAGATCAAGAGCTGCCTTCTCCCACGCTCAAGTATACGAGTTAGAGAGACGATTCAGCCAACAACGATACCTCTCAGGACCTGAACGAGCAGACTTGGCAGTCAGTCTGAAGCTGACTGAGACCCAAGTCAAGATCTGGTTCCAGAATCGACGATACAAGACGAAAAGAAAGCAGTTGCAGATGCAAGAGAACGGCATGCTCGCAGCCGCTGCTGCAGCCGCGAACCATGCGAGAAAAGTGGCTGTAAAGGTACTTGTGAACAATAACGGACAATCCAGCATACCTGACTTGAAGTCTTACCAAAATCCCATGCTAGGAAAGACGTTAAACCCACTCTTCACACCGCCGAACCTTCTAGAAAGTTCTCCGATTCTAAAGCATTTTGCAGGAGTTTACGGCGTAGATTTCGCGAAAAATCCTCAATACAAAGCTCTGTTACAAGAGTCCTACAATCAGGCGGTCTTACAATCGTTATATGGTCCTCATTTGGGAGTGAACTACCCGAATCTGCCGCTACCTTACATGTATTACCCGGGTCATTCAGCATTTGGATTACCAGTACCTTGTGATGTCGAAAGAAGTCAAGTTGATCGACCGGACAGCAAAGAGTTCACCGAAGAAAAAGATAACAAGGAAAAGACAGAAACCAAACCAAAACCTCATATTGAATTAAATGAGAACAGTAACGAAAGTATGGCCAGTAATATTGAGATTGAAAATTAGGAACGTTCTTAGAATAATTTTAATAAAGAGGTTAATCGTTAGTTTGTAGAAATTAAAAGTAGAATTTTGAACGTTCTATTTTTAAAATTGCGCAAAGAGAAATTGGACACGTATTTCAAATTAGAATTTAGAACCAACATCACAAACACGCGTTATTTTTCTAACGGAAATATCTGAACTCATTCGTGGAATGAGTTAGTTTATTTGGAATAAGAATGTACGAATCAATAATATTTTTATCTGGCAATAAAAACCAAAGATGGAGGTAATGGTAGCCAAAGCACGTAGTTAGTAGAATTGTTACTGTTTAGTTATAACTGTTGTAAATATTTTTAAGGTTGAAATGTTTTAATAGTTGATTGTATCGGCACGTTTGTAAATAGTACAAAGGTAGGATTTAAGGAAGCTTTTGAAGGTGCAATAAAGAGAATAGCAACTTAACATACAAGTTTTATTTAACCGTATCCTTTAATACATACAGACATAATACATAATATTGCATTCCAAAAGACAATCAATGTCTCAGAAAAGCGCACATATTGTGTGGGACATTCACGTCTAATGATTTTGTAAACAGTTATGTGATAAATCCCATTCACCCATGTAATACCTAAAGGAGAGATGAGCATAGTGCTATACACACACAACTGACTTCAATTGAGCATTTTAAACCTAATAGGTACCTATACTTAACCTCTTACCTGCGGGCATATGAGACAATAGAAAACAGTTCCGGCCGCGTATACCAGGGGTTAATACATACTCTTTTAACCTTTTGTTTGAACTTTAGTTATGGCAGAGCCTTAACAAAAATTGCAGTAATCTGGCAAAACAGGCCGATAGAGAAGGTCGTGTAATAAATTGGCAGTACATTCATGTCAAGACGCTTATTTAGCATCAACAATCAATATTGTGTGATGGAGGCATTGTGGGAGTAGGTACCTAATGATAACGAACATAAGTAAGTATTCGTAGTGTAGATAGAGAAATATTAAAAGAAGACTGTCAAGTCTCAAGTTAAAAACATACAATATGGTTTTGTCAGCCTTTTTGATCTTCGATGGGTCGTAAAAACAATATTTTATCGAAAAGGTTCTATTCCTTGGTCGGCAAAACAGTATGTGTACTTGATAGCAATTAGCGCGTCTCTCTTAAATCGTAGGTACATGTATAAGTTTCGAGAGGACCAAAAGTATTCGGATTTTTGTAATTTTGATTGAAATTAGATAATTCTAAAACATTCATTGTTCTAAATTATCCCCATCATGGCATCACCCCATCACCTACTTTAGTCTACATTATAGACCTTATTTCCAATGCTTAGAGACAACTTTTGTATAAACAAATTTAGGGGATGAATTTCAACGGGTTAAATAAAGTTAGTTTGTTTAAACGCGCTAATCTCCAGAATCACGGGTCCGATTTAATTAATTCTTTTTGTGTTGCATAGTGCATTTATCGAGGAAGGCAATAGACTAAAACATCAAGCTACGATCAATAAGAGCTGAGCAGAGAGGTAGAAATAACGCGGAAGTAGCTGTCTATAATAAAATGAATGAATGATGTCCAGTATACATGTGCAATAGAGCAAAACACGTTCATGTAGGTACACAGTTTTACTTCAAAACCAAAACCATTGGTCATTCAGTAAGAAAAATCTCAATTTATCCCGACTTTTATAGAAGTTTTATCACAAAACACCACCTTCCACTTTTACATTTAGAAGTCGTCAGCTCTCAAACTTTTACCGAGAGTCTTCAACAGCCGGTAATTGTACGAGATGGTGCTCGAACTCGGAACTCCGAGTAAAATTGAAGAATGCCCTGGAAATCACAGCGGGACAAATTGCTTGAATACCTACTTGAGGTAAGGTAACGGAGGGTGGAGATGGCTTTTAAAATTGTTGACGTGAAACATTAGGTACCTAGGTACTATTAAATTGGTATGAAAAGGGACATGAATATGTGAAACGTTAATGAATGTTAGTTGTCTAGACTACCTCATTGGTCGAGTGGTCTTATGTATGACTGCTGAGCTAGGGATCCTGGGTGAGATTCCAGAAATAAATAGGTTGAAAGTAGGCACCTAGTAAGAAAATAGGGTTTAGGGAACTTTACTCTGTTCCTTAAAGTAGCAGAAAGACCGCCAGGCACGATCACCTCACCTGGTCGGAGGATCCTCCTTTTCCGAACTTAGGGAACTTTACTCACTGTTCCCTAAAAGGGCACTAATTGGTGGATTTTTTGACAGGGAAGCATAGACTTTTCTAGTGCATGCAGGTATAACAAGTGTTGTAAACATTTAAGTTCAAACCACAGAAATATTTTTTTAATTCACAAAAACCTGCATTATCGCCATCACCATCATCAAGTGACTTAAAAAATGGTCAAAAATAATATTACACAGAAGCCCTCTCCACAAAATGAGCAAACGTTCTTCAATAAAATTATCATATGAATACTAGTTGGTGCCGCGGGTGGAGGCGGGTCGCGCAGACATTATGAAAATGCCAAGCTTCGACTTCCGGGCGAAGAATTCTTAAGACGATGAGTGACGATTCACCCGCTTCTACCCGCCAGATAGGGTGAATAGGGGAGCTATGTTTATTCAAAGTGGGTACTGTAAATTAGATAGGTAGTACTTTTTTAAGGTTTGTTACTAAATCGAGTTAAATGTGCCACAGTCTTGAGGTCAGTTATGGTACACGGAATCTATAATCAGTACCAACTTTGTATTGTACTAGCTACTTCCGCGCGGTTTCACACGCTCTGCTCAGCTTCTTTTGGTTGTAGCGTGATGTTTTGTAGACTGGAGCCATCCTCGATAAATGGGCTATTCAACACAAAAAGAATTATTCAAATCAGACTTGTAGTTACGGAGATTAGCGCGTTCAAACAAACAATCAAACTCTTCCGCTATATATAATAGTATAAGACGTAAACAATTTTTTTTAATCTCCAAAGGCCTGCTGGTGTATCAGGATGGTACTTACCTACCTATACTTTTTTTATGCCACGACTGTGGCAAGAAAGGCACACTGCCCATCTGATGGTAAGCGGTTACCGTGGCCTATGTACGCTTGCAACACTTGAGGCATTACATGCGTCTTGCCGACCCTGAATAAACCTATCCTATGTTATATTATAAGTCCCATGTAAAAGAGGGTGGACCTTCAATATACCTATAATAGACTAGGCACAACTTTAAACTTCGTGCGATGATTGAAAACAAAAAAAAATAATCGAGAATCTTAAACGGCCAGAAAGCTTTCATTAACTTAAGAATCGAAACCAACCACTCTCATTTACCTTAGCAGTTAAGTTAAAAGTACATTTATGCAAAAGACTGCCTCGTTGGCCGAGTGGTTGCAAGTGCGACTAACGGGCAAGGGGTCTCAGGTTCGATTCCCGGGTCGGGCAACGTATTCTATAAATTCTCAGTAGTAGCATGGTGTCTGGAATTGAATTGTGCCCGGTGTATGGCAATAGGCTCACCCTCTATTACGTGGGACTCGTAACATAAATAGTGAAAATTGTTACATTGTACTTACAGTGGAATTAAGTGTCGTAATGTGCACCTCTGCCTAGCCCTTCGGGGATAAAAGGCGTGATGTTATGTTGTTACTTATGCAAAAAGAAATCTGGTAATAAAGTCGAGTTCAAAATTCTCAGTACCTATCTTCTTACACAGTCTTTCTAATCTCCTTACTCAGTAGTACAGTGTTAGTAATTTAGTATACTATAGGTAGGTGGCACTGGTAGTCGCCTATTTGTTTCGTACTATTCCTGAGAAACGCACTGCAATTAACAGATTGTCGATGCACTAAACTGTAAACAGTGCATTACCGCTCATCCTCTCAATACTCATTCTAGGGACGGGCATCCAATCTATCGATATCGATACATTGATAAAGACGAAAACAGTAGAATATTTTATTGATATCTTACCAATCATGGTTCATTGCGACCTTTAGTAATCTATTTCAGATGTAACACTATTAATAGGAATATTTTCACATAAAGCGATGGCACTATCGAAATGCGCCGGAAGGTAAGATTCGTAAATTTTTTGATCAGCAATCTGCTAATGAATGTTTACTAGAAAATCTTTCAGAGTATTCTCAACAAGCATCTACTTAATTTTCATTGTAATGACTAAAATTATATTTAATTTCAATTTAAATCCATCGACAATCCCCAAAACGCACACTAGCGCTCGCCGCTCGCACTTTGCATTAACAGTCGCACTCGCACTCGGGAACAGAGGCTCGAGTTACACGCACGTGTGCCGGATATGTCGTAAACAAACACATCACTAGCACTCCTCGTTAACACAAATATCTACTAATTACATACAATAAAACTAAATAACCCGTATTCGGGTATTTATAATAAGTTTAAAAGGGTCTTCGGTCTACCGCATTTACCTACTCTAACTAACCGGTGGCAAAGGTAGAGGTACACACATATTACATTTAAATCCAATTTTACTTTAGTAGTAAGTCCTGCCTCGTTGGCTGAGTGGGCCCAAGTGCGACTGCTGGTCCAGAGGTCTCGGGTTCGATTCCCTGGTCGGGCAAAGTATCTATTACTGGGTTTTTTAAAATCTCAGTAGTAGCACGGAGTTTGGAAATGTGCCCGGTATATTAGCCTATTGCCAGGCTCACCCCCTATTACATGGGACTCATAACATAAATAGTGAAAAGTGGGTGTTACATTATACAGTGGCATTTAGTGGCGTAATGTGCACCTCTGCCTTCCCCTTCGGGGATAAAAGGCGTGATGTTATGTTATGTTAGTAAGTCCCATAGTTTCGTATGTAAATGGGAATTGCTGAAATGGATTTGATCGAATAGAATTATTCGTCCGAATTGTTTACCATTCTCAATTTCAGTTTCAAGTAATAAACGCGTACTGTTGCGGATATCAACCATGCTAGACCAATAAAGCTATATTAGACAATACTTATTTTCATCTCCAACCTGCCTTCTACCTATCTGC